GCGCTCTTCCTCGACCCCGGGCCGCACGGCCCCGCCCATACCCCGGCGTACCTGCGCGGCTGAGCGGGAGAGGAACAAGCTTTGCTCCACTGCTCGGAGGAAGGAGAAAAAGCCCTCACGCAACTGCGTCCGCACACGCGTGCTCCGTCGCCGGTCTATATAAGCGCAACGCAGCCTAACTTGTTGCGGCAGGCTGACGACCAATCCCAACTGCGTCCTCTGGAATCCTCGAGCAGCCATTGGATATCGACTCAGGATGAAGGCGTGACTCTTGATTGGCTTTGACTCATGCCTATGAGACTGTCAGGATCTCGTTTCCCTAGTAACGGATTGGCATAGAGAGGGACCAATTACTTAAAGGGAAGGTGGAAAGGAGGGCGGGAAGTTTTTTGATCGATATCCACAATGGCCAATAAATGCTTGGGGCCGCTCCCATTCGTTGAAACGTATTACCCTGGGCGGAGATCCGTTTTCCAATTGCATGAGCGGTTGCTCCACAAGGTGGGGCCCGTGTACTTTGGGGAAGTAAACCCCAAGCAACTAGGAGGTGGGAACGAGGGAGGCCAAGGAAGGCCTCGGCCAATCGCAACGCAAGAAAGAGCTGATTGACACGGGGGTTGGACGGCACCAAGGAGACCGAGCCCGAGGGCCCCCGTGCCTTCAGGGGCGGTTCTGAGCCTCTCCGGTCCGGGGCTGGGTCCTTTTTCCTTCTTTCCCTCCCGTGGTAGATCCGGCCCCTGCAGCCCCTATCCCGCCTTTTCCGCAGATCGGTACCAGGGGAACCAAGTGGTAAACTTTCCCCTTGTTTGCTTCTTCTTATGACAACTTTTTATTTCCATGCCGAAGGGCACTTGCTGGTTCGCCCCACCCGCCCCCATTAGTCTGCACTAGCGCGGACAACTATTAAGGGAAAGCCAAGGAGAAGGTAACCCCGTGAAAGAAGTGAAAAGTCGCGCGTGAAAGCTGCTGTTGAGCTGGAGAACGCACATTTCAGCCCTGCCGTTTGGGGCAAGGTCGGCCCGAAGGGGCCGCGTGGGTGTTGCTGAGGTTTCCCCTTTCTGCTGTCGCCGAGGGCGGCAGTTTGCAGGCTCTCTGATCCGCTTGGGCTCCCATGCAACGCCCTGTGCGTCACGGCCATTGTCATTCGGTTTTCTAATCGCTGGGGAGGAGGGGGCGCTTATTTCTCCCGGCCATTCCGTCTTTAAAAGGTAACTTGTCAAACTCCTCTGTGGACACCCCCAGGATTTCCCGAAACAGTTCAAGGGCTCAGCGGCGCGCCGGCCGCGTCCAGTCCACGTCTCTGAGCGTATCGCTGGGCCCCCTGTTGGTGACCAGGAGCATTTTCCATGGAAATACAAAGGCACGCTTGGGGCCGTTCGCGTTGCAGGCATGTGACCCTGCGGGAGGGGGGCTACCGATAAGACTTATCGGATAAGTTTTGCAGAGCCACGTGGAAGGGAAGCACGTGGAGCGTCTCTGTTGGGACAGAAAGGGGCGCGGGGCAGCCGCTCGGTGGCATCCGGGCGCGTCCCAGTTGGCCCCCCAACGCGGGCCTGGCCCCGGGAGCCAAGTGAGAGCGCCCCGCTGCCCCCCACCCACTCCATCCCCAGGCCTCACTCCGGCAGCGGCCTCGCGCTTTCAGCAATTATTGAGCTGCAGGGGCTGGAATCAGGGATGATCTAGAATCTAGAATAGATGCTGTCCCTGTTCGCTGTCACCCCTTTCAACAGACCAGAGTGCTGCGCTGCCCTGGGCCCGGCGCTCCCCAAACCGGGGACAGGTGTCTTGAGGCTGAAGACACCAGAGGCAACTCAGCCCAGAGGAGAGGCTTTCTGGAGTAAGGAAACTCCGGGATTGCGGCAGGCTGACGACCAATGCTAAGGAATTTGAACTTTATTCTGAAAGCAATGGAGAGCTACTGAAAGGTTTCTTAAAGTTGGACTAAGAAATTTGCATTTTACAAGATGACCCTCCAAATTGAAACACTAATGAGAGCAAATTGGCACAACTTTAAATTCACAGGTTGGTCATTTAAACCCAAGTGGTCTGTGACAGGGGTCGAGGCTATTCTTAATTTCATCTGGGGGGAATTTTAAGTGATTACAGCTCTTTTTGTAAGGCTACTTGGCAGTCTCTATTAAATTGTGTATATCCCACTTCTTGGTTGACAGCCACTTTTTTTTTTTTACAAAGAGGCATGTACAGTGTGTACATTACAGTATTGTCAGCTTTGTTAGACTATTTACACTGCAAAAGTAATTGCTCATCAGTTTACAAACTAACTGTTGATATGCATGTAAGATAGAATACTCTGCAGCAGTTTAAATTTTTTTATTTCTTTATTTGAGAGAGAGCGCGCGAGCGAGAGAGCAAGGGGGAGAGAAGGATCTATTTGTTGTTCCACTCATTTATGCATTCATTGGTTGATTCTTGTATGTGCCCAACCTGGGATCAAACCCCTAACCTTGGCGTATGGGATGACACTGTAACTGAGCAACCTGGCCAGGGCCCTCTGCAGCAGATTAAAAGAGAACGAGATAGAATTGTACAGATATGGATCAGTATCCAGTTGTTAACGGGGGAAATCTAAGTGCAAAGGGAAATTTCTAAATTTAAAACAATAGAAAAAGCAACCATGTAGGTGTGCTGGTGTAAAATTAAGAAAAATAAATAAATAAATAAAACAATAGCCATTTCCCCTAGGGAATCCCCTAGGTTGGAAGCAATGAGTATTTGGAAGTTTTACATTGAGACTGTGTGTTATGTACTGTGTTTATGCACAGGAGGTAAGAAGACAGGAAGAAAGGAAGGAAGAAAAGGAAGGGAGGGCTGGAGGGATTACCGGAGAGGGAATGTGGACAAGACCTCAGGTGGCTGTTGCTGTCTTCCATAGGAGAGAGAGGGTTGACATCTTGTGATAGTTTCCCTACTCACATCCTAAACCAGGGGTGGGCAAACTTTTTGACTCGAGGGCCACCATGGGTTCTTAAACTGGACTGGAGGGCCAGAACAAAAGCATGGATGGAGTGTTTGTGTGAACTAATATAAATTCAAAGTAAACATCATTACATAAAAGGGTACGGTCTTTTTTTTCAATAGTTTTATTCATTTCAAACAGGCCGGATCCAGCCTGCGGGCCGTAGTTTGCCCACGGCTGTCCTAAACCCTCAGGACCCAGACGCTAGATGCTTAGGAAATGTTCAGTGAGTAATTTACCACCAGTGAATTGTCTGGAGCACTGTTCTCACGGTGGGGAACGCGGGGGAGATTTTGCCCTCAAGAGAACTACGGCCTCGTCACAACTGGGTAGAGGTGCTACTAGCATCTAGTGGGCAGAGGCCAGGGGTGCACAGGAAAGCCCCCCATGACCACCTGTTATCTGGCCAAAAAGTCAATAGAGAAACCCCGGTCTAGTTGTTACTGGCGAGACGATGAGACCTCAGTTCTTGTCTTCTTGGAGGAAAGATTTCCATCAAGAGACAACATGTAGAAAAGCAAGCCAGAATGTATTGGCTGTAGCAGAAATATACTTAGGGGAGTGAAACAAAGAAGGGCATGGAAGAAGCAACAGGAGAGCCCAGGCTGGGCTGCTCTGGCTCACTGGGAAGTCAGAGAAAAGGGGGCCTTGGAGACAGGTTCAGGGGGTTAGCCCGGGATGAGCGACTACTGCCCATTGCTCCCCTGGTTGCAAGTTTCCTGGGGGTCCTTTGGAGTTTAGGAGATACATACCTGTGGGGAAAGGAGAAGAGGAAGGGAATGGCACGGATGTGCTCCCTGGAGGGAGAACTCCCAATGGGTCCTCTGCTTGAGGGTATGTATCTCTCTCTGGCCAGTGGGAATCTTTGGGGAGGTCTCAGGGAAGGGTCTCCTTAGAATATTCATCAGCTTTCCAGGTGTGTCCTTTCAGGGTCATGTCTCCACCAATTGGTCAATGCAGCTGGTCCTGAAAGCGGCCATGGCATCACTTATCTGGCTTTTCTGGGCCTGGAGCTGAAATACAGCTGAGGCCTAGATGTTATCCCTAGGGAGGAAAAGGTCAGGAGGTCTAAACCACATGACTATTGACACCGCATCAGTATTCTAGGCAGGAAAGGGAAGGAGTGGTGTCTGTTCTCCTTGTTCCAAAAAGCCTCTTTGAAGCTTCTAGACTCATTCCAGACTTCCGCTTCAGACTCTTCGTCCAGAGCCGTAGCAGATGGGCAGACTGGCTGCAAGGGAGGATGGGAAAGCAAGTATTGAGAGATCTAGCCTGTAGAGTAGCAAAAGTAAAAAGATTGGGAATGAGTGTTGGATGAGCCAACCAATGGTTTCTGCCATAGGGGCTGGTTAAATAGACTATGGAACAACGAAACGATAGAACACCAGGTAGCCAAGATAGTGAGGTAGAGCGCCTAAGGAAGAACCCCCCGCCACACACACACACACCCAACCCCACCACCACCCCTCGGCTGAGATCTAGGCTTGGCCCATTGAACTCCCTGGTGGTGGAACTTGCTAGACATTCACCCTCTGGGCTGGGAAACCACCTGGGAGGATGCTGGGAAAAGTTCTTCACAGAAAGAGGCATCTCATCGGAGGCACTGGGCTAGGAAAGCACACAAGGGGGTAGGTGCTGGGGGGAGCTGCTGGCTGCTAGGTGCTGCTGATCCCCCTGCACAGGAGGAGCCTGGTGCTGGAGAAGCCATGCTCAGACGCTGGGCCTGGGGCAGCCACATGCCTCAGGGAGCACTGAGCCAGGAAGGAAAACCTTTCCCCTCCCAGTGTCTCTACAAAAACTTGCCTGAGGAAGCTTAACATCCTGCCAGTGGGCAAAGGGAAAAAATGTAATGATCTGGATCCATTTTCACAGAGTAGGCAAAAAGGATGAATTGGAGCTGAGAGATAATAACCAGCACGCTTTCTCAAAAAGGTTTCATGTGTTAAGATTATAGTTTTCTTCATCTAGTGGTTCCCAAAGCCAAAAGGAGGAGGGGGACTAAAAGTAAGGCCTTGAAATTCAGGGGCAATGTATCCAGGGTGAGGCCTAGAAATCTGAGGGTTTTTTTTAAAAAAAGTTTATATATTGATTTGAGAGAAAGAGAGAGAACATTGATTTGTTATTTCCCTTGTTTATGCATTCATTGGTTGATTCTTATATGTGCCCTGACCAGGGATCAAACCTGCAACTTTGGTGTATTGGGACAGTGCTCTAACCAACTAAGCTACCCAACCAGGACTAGAAATAAAACCTTTTTTGATGTGTGTGTGTGTGTGTGTGTGCGTGTGTGTGTGTGTGTGTGTGTGTGTAATTGATTTGAGAGAGAGGATGGGAGAGAAAGAAAGAGAGAGATTGATTTGTTCTACATATTTATTCATTGGTTGATTCTTTTTTAAAAATAGTAACTTTTAAAAAATAGATTTTTATTGAGGAAGAGAGAGGGAGAGAAAGACGGAAACATCCATGATGAGAGAGAATCATTGATTGGCTGCCTCCTGCATGCCCCCTAATGGGGATTGAACCTGCAACTCCAGCATGTGCCCTGACCTGGAATCCAAACATAACCTCCTGGTTCATAGGTCGACACTCAACCACTGAGCCATGCCGGTCGGGCAATGGTTGATTCTTGTATGTGCCCTGACTGGGGGTTGCACCTGTTACCTTGGCATATCCAGACAATGCTCTAACCAACTGAGCTGCCCAGAAAGGGCTCAATCTGAGTTTTTGATAAGCTCTCCACACACTCTGTGGATGGAGAATTCTTTGAAACTACATAGACTGAGCCCCTTTGGCAGAATCCTTGGATATTCCA